AGGAAAAGACAAATAATGTCCTGCTGACAGGGGCGTCCGATCAGAGAATGCTTCTGTGTGTCGTTCCAGAGGACAAACAACATATTTTGTTGTTTAATTTGGAGGACGTGTTGGTCTTTTTGATGTGATTATTGGCTTATTGTAAACAACCTCAACTGAATACAGCATTTCATTCTGACATGCCTGTTTATATGAAACATAAATTATCTGTGAAAGTAAATGTTTGTGTACAAACAGCTGAATGAATAAAGGGTTATAATGACTATGGAATGAATATGGACAGGACTCTGAACACTTGGCATTGTTTTGATTTGAGCAAATGGTATTGATCAGCCCTATCAACTCACCACAGATAAATTATGGTCATGTGCAGTAAATTCGACTTTATAGCCCTTTAATTGAAGTGTTTTACAGTTTATCATGCTCTGTCCGCTCAGCTGGAGTGAAACTACACCCTCTGTCAGCCTGTAACAGCCAGCGGGTCCAGCTGCTTTGCGGGCTCTGGGGGACATTCCCAGCATGTTCACACATCATTGGAGGAGCTGGAGTGTTTGCCTTTCACTTTGACCACAACACAAACAACTTCACCCACAAATAAACAAAACACGAGGCAGGGGCCACAAGTGGAGCAGGACATAGTCCAAGAGGCACTGAGACAACGAATCCGAGGCGCCTCTGTTTGTTTGCTTGTGTTTTCGTGTGTGTACGTGCCGGTGTGTTTGCAAATGCTTGCTTTGTGGAGGATAGCAGGGTAGTTTCATAGTAAGCTGATTTGTTGTGTTTTGTGGAAAGTGATGAGACTTTTCACGTTTTTTTTCTTAAAGACAGATGTTTCAAAACTGTTTAGCCACTCCTCTCTTTCCCCCAGCATGATTACCCATAACCAACCTCTACCTCCTAAAGCCTCCTCTAGCTGTGAACTTTTGAGAGGCCTCCCCAATTCAAGGAATTATAGGAGAGGGGCAGAGGAGAGGGGCAGAGGAAAGGGGGGTGGGGGGGCAAGGACGAGAGACAGAAAAAGAGACAGAGAGAGCAAAACACAAAACTTGCTGACACGGGGCATAACTTAATTTCCACGGTAGGGGGACAGCTGTGCAGTGTAATCTGCCATGGCAGCCCATTCAGACTTCAATGGCAGGCTTGACCCACCAAGGAAAACTCAAACTGCAGCCAGCCCTTTCTCAGTGAAGGAGGTGGTGACCAGGCCACCATTTATAGGCTTGTCTTAAAGAAACATACCCCTCTGGCTTGTTATTGATAACACCCCTAGACCCCCCCCCCCCCCCCCACACACACACACACACACACACACACACAAATACAAATACAAAGCAGTGGGATTCTTAGCTGGTACAACATCTCAGGAGGTTGATCAGGAAGATCACATTTAGGGTTGGGTATTGTTTGGGTTTTTTACGATTCCGGTGCCTGAAATGATACGTTAAAAAATGCACACAAAAAAACCATCAAAGATAAATAAATAATTTATAATAATAATAAATAATAAAAATGGGATTTTTAAAGTAATTTCTAAAATTTTAAATTCTTTAAATAAAACAATATATTAACTGTTTAAAGTGCACTTAAATATAAGTAAATACCAAAGACAACAAATATACATAAAAATTTCACAATATATAAAACCTAAACCACCTAACCCAACTAAAACAATTTAACACTAAATAACAGCTACAGCACTAACAGTGTGAATGTGTGATATTTGCATCATTGCGTAACCAGATTGCAACATAATCTTTGTTGAGTGTGTGAATCAGTGGAAAGGTCACCCCTATTAAAGTTTTTGTGAAACTTTTTTTCTCCCCGACAACAGAAACATTCTCACTTGAATTTAAAGCTACCATGTGTCATTTTCGACCAGGAGTGGTGCTGTTGAGCATTGTTTTAATGAGTGGGTTCCTGTTTACATTGTTCAGACAGCAACACTGTGACAAACAGATCATCCAAAAAGCTCCACTGCTAAAGGGCTCAGGCAAGAAAACGCAGGGTCGCGCGGTAAAAAACATGGTTTGAGTTTTAGTTCAATACACTGTGATGCCATGCATCAACAAATTGCATTTGTCAATCAAATATGTGCAAATGCACATTTCTGGTGGATTACTTTTTGACATGAACAGGGTCATTTTACTCTTTACCTTTAAAATCACATCAGATGACTGAATCATTTCTGCAATGTCAACTTTCCAGACTTGTAAAATCCTGTCTCATAGTAAAAACAATGTGTTTTGTTGTCTGTTAATCCATTACTTAAAGATGCCCTGTGGAGTTAGAATTTTTGTCTTACCTTGCAATAAATTGAAGTTTTGGGGGTTTTGTTCTGATTGTCGGACAAAAGAAGATGTTTTAATGATGTCACCCAGGGTGTGAACTATGGGGGAGCAGGGATGCTCACAAGTCTCTGAACAAGAGTCCAAGTCAAGTCTCAAGTCTCTCGTGGTTATAATGAATGTTTTATCACCTGCTGCGTTCAATCCAGGTTGCTAATAAAACTGCATGGCTATAAGGAATACTGTAACTGTAACCTGTTTTTCACTTACAGAGCACAACCATGTAATGTACAATTCAATTATTGACGGCTTATTAAATACTGTAAGTCAACACACCCTGCAGACTCTCAAACCAGTGTAACGTTATAAATAAACAAAACTGTAAGGTTACATGATCAACAATAAACCTGTAACCTCTTTCTAGCCAACGTTAATAATTAACGTGATTGCAGCCAGCAGGACGTAAATAATTATGTTAATCGACCACCACAAGTTTGGCAAGTAAACAAACTCTCATTCATCTTTTCATAACAAACGACAGTCGGAGTAAACCTCTAGTAGGTCGTAGCTGAAGCAAGAAGCAAGCTAACGTTAGATGGCCAATGCTGAGCTAAACATGTTCACTCACCACAGGTTACTAACCTATTTGCTTTCAGCGCTTCTTTGTTTGGGCCATGTTTTTATGAAGTTTTAAAGCCAAAGTTTATGATGAATGGTGGAGCAGCTACTGGTGTTTGATGTCCTCTCTCACGTGGCGCTGCGCGCAGCAGATGTTACGTGTTATGTATGCAGGTTATAGGTAACGGAGGGAGGGGAACAACGGCAAGCACATCAGACGTTTCCTAAAAATAAACATTGTCAAAACAAACAAGCAAGTCGAGTCTGAAGTCACTGTGTGTGCGACTTAAGCAGACCCACCAAAATATCAAAAAATAGCATGTTTTTTGATATTTTGGAGGGTCTCTAAAATATTGACAGCATGCTTTATTTACATTAATTTCTAGATTTCTCTATCATTATGGATCCATAAAATCAGGAGCGTCAGAGGGAACAATCATCGATCATCTGCAGCGGGCCAGTCGCTCCGCGATCTCCTGTCCCCAGCCGTATATGCTCCACTCCCTCTCCGGTACGGGTTGTGTCGCCAGTACAACAGACATGCTGTGAACAGTTCGTGGTCGCTCCCTCTGGCTGGATGAATAGTATGCAAACATAACAACATGAATAAATGTAGAAATATATAAATATGGAATTGGACAATGCAAGTTATATACGAATATTAAAAATAATAGAGAACAATAATACAACTATTTGCAGAGAAAGAACAACGTCGCAGATATTTACATGTGCATTATTCTGGGTTTGTGTTGTGCAGACATATTGCAACGGGAAAGGATATGTGTAGTGTACGTAAATATATAAATTGACAATATAAAAAATATACAAACATTAACAACAAATATGTGCAATGTGCCAGGTTTGTGCATGATATGAAATAATAATTATTATTAAAATAAGACAAACATGCCTGATACTTTCACAGTCAGCCCCAGGCCTACATGCTCGCAGCACAGTCTGTCACAGTTTGCCCCCCCCCCCCAGGGGAAAAACTGACCTCTCCCGAAAGCTATGGTATAGTTTGCACACTGATGCCTCTATTGTGAACGGTGTTTTTCATGTTGTATTATAGACCAAACGATTATTAGACGAAATAATATAAAAATAAAAATGCATTCTTCTGAGAAACATAAACTTTTTTATTTCAGTGAAAAGGTGGTATCTTCAAATGTATCTTTTTTTTTTTTTTAGTGACAGTTAAGTATTGCATTAACTTTAATAGGTTTGGCCAGGTTAAAGTGACCTTTGCGCTGGTTTTTATACTCTCAACGTTACGTTAATATAGATTATTTAAAGGGTCTGAGTAATCCACCAACAAAAGTCAACACAGCAACACAAAATATATAAACAGGAAATGTGCTTTCACTCTGACATGAATAATGAGGCTATAGCTTGGCAGTTGTTGGGAGTTAATAGTTTGGCAGTGGAAGTCAATAGGGGCCGGGGTCTCACTCCATTAAGCTGACCCCCAGGGCCACGTATTCATCCCTCACACATTAATGTCCTCTTTTATGTTCCCTGTCTTTTCACAGCAGAGGTCAGGCAGCAGTGCGGGCTCATGCAGAACAGCCTCTGTACAGACTGTAGGTCATAAATATGTTGGGTCGTTGTGTGAGTTGATGTGGCTTTGTTAACTAAAACCCAAATGGGAGCAAGGAAATTAATGAAAAGGCAAGCGTGGGACAGAGGGAGCTGTGAAAGGTACTGATCACAACACTGGCTCCAAGTTTTATCTCTCAGCGGATAGTTAACACATAGTTGAGTTCATTTTCAGTGAGTGTGTGCATGTGTTATTTGGACTGTTATTCCATCTCCTTAAATGTATATTTATAAATCCTAATGGGAGTGAGGGTATATTCATAGGGACCACATATGAAAACATTAAAACCATGTTATAACACAGCCTTCATCTGTTACAGTAAATATCATTGGAGGTAATATCATTATTAAATTGCATGATTATGATATTTATTCCTCAATTAGTCTTTATACTCTTTCTCAATGATTATAATCATTTATGTACTCAACAGATTAGTTAATGTTGTTCATTCAAAACACTGGTTTAAATCTCTTTTCTTCCCATTGTGCTCCCTGCAGGGCCATTTGTAAACATCTTCAAGAGAAATCCCAAGAGCAAACACATCTGAAAGCCTTCAGCAGGCTGCACTTCACCTCTCAGCTGAAAGAAGTTCAGAGCAGAGGAGGTCTCTGTTTGAAGTCCAACAAGTGGCAGTAAAAGAAGTGCTGAGTGTAGTTTGGAACAGGAAGCTATGACTTGATTTAAAGGGACATACCCAAAGTAATACAAAGTGTCTTTTTGCTCTTTTTGTGTGGATTTTTACTTACTTTACTTAATGTAGCTGTTGTTTTGTTCTCTACAGTGATTATTAAACACAAACACCTGAAGTGTCTCCTATTAAACTATAAATAACCCTTAAAAATAAGTGTAAAACATTTGTGTTGTACTACATTTAAATTCTCTTCCCAAAATATATCAAACTTTTCAGTCTTTTGAGTCAAACTGTGTCCTAAATTGCGAAGCACAAAGACACAAAACACAATGAATCTGTAATAAACTCTGCTGACATGAGCTAAACACATAATGAATAATCCCAATTGGGCTGCAAAGGCGCTACACACAATGGTCCAGTTTACCAAAGCAACTGAGAGCAAGGCTGGTGATTCAGGGTCACTAATAATGCCCTCTTTGTGCCTTAGTTCATGATTGAGCAGGGAGGTTTTCAGATGTCTCTACATTGTTTTAGGATGACAAGCTAAAAAAAATGAAGCAGGGAGATTTTCTGACATTTCTCCTTCTGTGGTTGTTTGGAGCAGCATATTTCACTGACAACATGCAGCAGTGAAGTTTGTTAGCTTGCAACATTACAAGAAATACAGAGGAGTGATGTTAAAACTTGAAAATCATCTGATCTGGAGTTTTTAGGATTCATATGAGTGGGATGTAAACTTGAACGTGTGCCCTCATTTCTCACCATGTCTAACAGCTCATTACTGCCTGAAAACAATGTGGTGTTGTGCTGTGAGTCAACAAGCCACGCTAATAATGTTGAAAATGATGCATGGAAGAAGGATTATGATTATACTCAAAAATAATACTGCAGAACTCTTTCACCACATCTCTTTTCCTGGATCATATTTAGGCCCCTTTTCCCACTTCACATGGAAATCCAGCTTAGCAGCTCTCTAGTAAACATGGAAAGCTGAGCAAGTCTTTTCCTGAGCTACTCATATGTCATGTTAAAGACACTGCAGGAACAGCAGAGGAAGGCGGAGCGTACAACAGGGAGTTAGTACGTCTGGAGCAAGAAACAGAGAAGGGGTGTGTGTGTGTGTGTGTGTTTTGGGGGGGAGGGTGCTGCAGGAGTAGCAAGAGTGAAAGTGAACAGGCCAAAATTTTGGCATGGAAATGGGAGTGTTTGTGTCAGCAAAAGTGAGACAGAAAGCAACACAGAAAGACTGAGGGAGACATGTTGAGACTTTAATAAGGAAAATGGTTTTAATGTGCTTTACTATAGTGTTGTACTAAGTACAAGGAAAAGGGTATCAAGATTGCGCCTACATAATGCCGTCTAAATTTTTAAACGCTGTTGAAAATTCGTGTGAAAATGACTTGCGTCCTCCCTGGTGTTTCCAGGTTGATTTTGTAGAGACCTCTGCAATAGAAAAAACAACTAGATCTCTTCTTCTATGTCCTCTTTTCAGTTGGCAAACAACAGAACAGCTGTGTGATCAGCTATATCAACATTTTGAATTGTGTGATCACAGAGAAAGAGACTACACACACACAGCTAGTTACTCTGCAGGGTGTGAGGACATTCAACCTCCATTCAGGCCCCATCCACGCTACAACCTTTTGCTACATTTGCACCTCCTGTCCAGACTAAAACGAGGAAATTTGGAAACGCTGCCGACCCCATTTTTTCGTTTTGAAACTCCGGAGAGCGTTTTAGTGAACATGGGCAAAGACGGAGGACAGAAAAGATTACCCAGACGCTCATGTTTGGCTGTCTGATTGGGTCTCATAAGTCATACAAAGTAGAAACAGGATGCTACTGACAGAGTTTTTGACTTTGTATTTTTATTAAAATATTTTTTACCGTGCAAATAACACTTAAAGCCTACACTTGTACTGTCTAAGCAATGTCGCCGTATTTACTTTGCAACAACTTCAAGTCTGTTTTCCGCTGCCACAGCCACTTTTAACCCAGCTTGTTATTGGTCCATGCAAAATAAAATCTGGGTGGTTTTTCGTCTGTAGTACTTTATTCTTTCGCCATAACTTCTATAACTACAAAATAGACCGTCTGTTTCATGTTTACACCGGCACGCGCATGCCCAGTGTGCGTGAACGGTCACTAGATGTGCGTTTTCAGTTTTCAGTTTTAGTATAGACGGAGATCAACTCCGATACGCAGCTAAAACGCTGGTGTGGACGGAGATCGTATTAGTTTTAACTCTCCGTTTTTAAACTAAAACGGAGTAGTGTAGATGGGGCCTGTTGTCAGAACTGTAACACCAAGCCGGCAAGGAAGTGAATAAGCGCTTTCTCCAAAATGTTGAACTATGCCTTAAAGACTTTATACAGCATTCTACAAATAAATACTTCAGACAAGAAATACCCAGATTTAACAGGTAAAATAAAGGTAAAGTTTTCGATCACTTTTTCCTGCTAATCACATCAGTGCACTGTGCTTTTAGCAATACCATATATATATATAAAAATATGTATATGCCTGCTTAAGAAATGTGGATGTCACATTTTTTGCATATGCTGCAGAGCTGATAATTTGTTTTTCAACCTCTGGGACAATGTTTATAAATGATGAAATTGGCATGGATTTTCAGATATTTTCTAATGATTAAATGGGATTATAGAGTCTTTGCAGGAATGAGACCCCTGGCGTGGATCAGTCAGACAGCAGCAGACAGTGAAGGTCTGGCGGCAGTCAAACAGGTAAACCTCTGGAGCCAGCTGCTTCCACTCAGTCCTCAATCCCCCTCCAGACTCAACCTCATTGCCAACACACACACACACAATGACAAAGTTAAAACACTTGGAAGGCACAGAAAAACTAAAGTTTAGTGTGAGTTGGCTTTTAAAGGAATAGTTGTTGGAAATAGTTTAATTTGTGTTTTTATTCATGCCTGTCCATTAAAAATGAAGGTAGAGCCAGGAGACTTTTCATTTAGCTTAGCTTAAAGACTGGAAACAGGTCCAAACAGCTTGCATGCTCAGGCACAGGAGTGTGGTATTGATCTTCTCATCTAACTCTCTGCAAGAAAGCATATAAGTGTGTTGCCCAAAATGTATAGGAAAACGCATCACATAGTAGTGATAGACATCCAATCATTTTAGCTGATTAGGTAGTGCAGTAGACGTTATCTGATCAGTAAACTCTGTCAATGCTGTGCACTCATGTGTCTGAGAACAGCCAAGCTAGTCTGTTTCAGATGATAAGATGTCCCTGAAGCACTCCAGAGAAACATTAACATTTCTGTCCCTCCCTCTCATATTTAGAGGATGAAGATGGCATCTCTGGTATTTGCAGACTCAAATGCATTCTGCAGTTGTCTATTCTCTCTTCTCTAGAGCCTGTGGTCATCTCCAACAAACAGACCAATTGCAACACTTTTTGTCTTGAGTTTGTGGTCGGCTCCAGAAATTAATTTAGCTGGCAACACAGCGGAGAATTATGGACTTCTGTCTAACTTTGAGCCACAAGATTATTTACTGACACAGTCTAACATAAAACCCTGAAACTGGATTTGTAGAGAGAAGGAAGTAAATATTTAGATTAGTGTCTGACCTACAGCTGCACTTCAGGGAGCAGGCAAAGGGATAACATCATTCATGCTGTAAAACTCGATTTCTCACTATTTGAATTGAACAATCAGTATGAAGTCAGGTCAGTGCTGTGGTCTGTTTTACGACAGGGGCTACGGTAGGATTTATGAACCAGGCAATTAGTTCCAGATTTGCAAAACCAACCACTGAAAATAATATTTGCAAATTGAAAATGGCACCGTCTGGTGTGGAGATATACGACTCCCCTCCCTTCAAATTATGAACTGTGAAGTGCGAGCAAAACACAAGTTGGAGGGGGAAAAAGTCTGTTGTTTTGTGTGTCTCTCTTTCTTTGCATTTCTTCACTCATTTGTTTGGCACCTCCCCGCTGGCAGCTGAGCTGAATAAATTAATTGCCCTGTGTCTGATGATACACACAAGTTTCTTAGCTCCCCCCCCCCCCCCCCCCAGCTTCTTAGTTGAAACTAAAAAAGGGCTGCCGTAGATATTCTCTTCTTGTTGGACTATCTTTGCCTGAAGCGACACATTTTCATGGCTTAGAGAAGAACCGACTCATTCCTCCACGCCCGTTTCATTTTACAACTGCCCCTGAATGGGTATCAGCTTCCAGTGGGTCCTTGGCCTTTGTTTGGAGAAAAGGAAACAACAGCTGTTGCTTTCACAGGATTTTCTAACCCGGGGTCCTTAGAAAGAAACAAAAATAAATGTTTTAAACAAAAAAGTGAAAAGTCTTTTTGCCAAGAGAACAGCTTCAAATCAGTAGACCTTTCTCTCTGTTTCAGACACCTCCACACTCTATCTTTTTCTCTCTTTATTTCTGTGTCTCACACACACACACACACACACACACACACACACACACCACAGTCTTTTCCTCTCTTTGTCAAAGGGAAGGGGGGGTGGAAAACAGAGGGGAAACACACAGGTTCAGCTCCTTCTTCACCTGTCTCATTATTAGCGGCGATGAAGGACACAGTCAGAATTCCCTCCAATAACTCTCTCTGTGAGCCCCCTGTCTCCCTGCATCCACCTGTTGACAGAGCTGTTAAATGAGTCCTGGGCAGGAATGTTAATCAAAGAATCTGACATGTTGCTGGAGATTTGGCCTTCAGCCTCTCAGACAGGTGGCTTGGTTTCTATCAAGCAGATCTGTTATCAGGACTGCGGTACATTTCAAAACCCCTGGTTATGTCTCGGCTGTCTGGTTCTTTTGCTCAATATCTTCTGTGGAAGTTTGGTCTGTTTTTGGACCCCGTATACACTTCCTTTTGTGTATAAAGCCTCTTTCAGACATGCACTTTTTTTGTAAATATGTTGGTAAAAGCGCCTATCACAAGCGCCTATCACTTTCACATAAAAGTGCAATCTTACAAGATAGGAGCGTGACATTTCACTAATACTTTCACCTTGGCACAAGTCTGAATTGAATGCTACCGCATGAACATGCGAGGCTGCAGCAGCACAAAGTAAAGCATGCAGAGAGAGAGATTAATTCCATGTCTTGTTCGCCTGGTTATAATCACTGTAATACATTTCTTAATTATTTTCTGTTGAGCTCAAAGATAATTGTTAAATAAAC